TTTGTTTGTTTATCTTTACCAACTGTGTTCTCTATCTACCACCCCTCAAACAATCTTTATGATGAAAACACAATCATCTAAAAATGTTCGTATGTTTTACAGTACCTTATTTATAAATAATTAGTGTGGGGACACATTGGTCAACATGCTTCAGCTCTTATGTTCTCTCCCATTTGCTGTCCCTCACTTAACCGCTCACATATGTCCCATCTCTCCATGATAACACTGCATCTATTCAAACCTTTTCTAAGAATGAGCTATTCCTAAAAGTTTTTAAGACAGGTACATTTTTGCCCCACAAACGCCAATGTTTTCAAAAGTAAAATATTTACACCTGTTTTTTAAAAAAAATGTTTGCTTCATGATGTAAACTAATGGTAATGATTAACCCTGGGGTTAACAACCCTCGGGTTGTGAAAATGCATTAAGGTATCTGGGTCTTGGGGTCTATATTAACTGGCCCTGGGCAGCTGCACTTTCAGAGGTCCTGTCGTTACAGCCCTCTCTCTGTTGGCAGGCCGCCCGCCATTTATTCCTAGAGCTCTGGACTGTTGAAGCAGTAACCACCCTTTTCTAAGTTGCTGTTGGGGCTGACTGTGTGGTTTGGGCGAGCAGACATCTGTATTGGTAAATGTGGATTTACATAAAAGAACAGACTGTTGGTGGATGAGGAACCACGGCAAAATGAGGTAGGGGAAGGGATTTCAGCAGTCCTCTGAGCAGTCGGGGCCAGGCTGGCTCTCCTGCCAATTCTGAGCTATATTTTGAGTTAAGCAGATCACTGAGTAAGCAAGATCTTGTGCTGAAACAAGCACTTGTGTTCATTTTTGTTTTATTTGGAGGTGAAGTTGTCAAGTGCATTCATACACAGCTATTTTCTGAGACACATAAATTTGTTGAAATATATATTAAAATAATGGCCATCACCAAAAGACAATGAAAAAGCCCACTATAACAAATTCAGAAGATGTATACTGAATTTTTTTTTCCTGCAGCATGTCCATTAGCTTGTGTCTATGTAGAGAGAATATTTCTCAATACAGCTAGCTGCTAAAGGAGAGATGAGATGGGCCTCACAAAATGAGAGAGCATGACAGCGACAACCCACTAGAACTGCGATTAGAACAGGAAAATTCATGTAGACTACCTAGCTTAGAACGTATTCAGCTTTGCAGATGTTAAACGCTGCTGCAGACCTACACAGGGGTTTTCTAACTTTTTTCCTTCAAAGCGATTTCATATTTTGTAATGACTTTTTTACATTAGCAGATTATAAACATCTGTGTTCCACTAATAATTCTAGATTTCCCCTGAAGACATAAATTCTGATAAAATCTAATAAGAAAACGCAAGGCAAAGAGAAAGAAAAAGAGAGATGCATCTTTTATGTGCATCATATTTTCCTCAGGATAAATCTACATGGCACATGTTGATAGGTATGCCTGTAGTAGGACTGTTCTAATTAGATCCAGCCCTAACTTACCTGTGACTTACGGAAAGGAAAAACTCAATTCTGGATTGACACTGTGTGCCCTGGAAGGCCTGCAGGTCTGTTTTCAGAAACTACAAACTCTAGTTATTAAAACAGCAGAGTGAAAAAATGGATAAAATATAACCAGATTCTCTGCTATTCTGGGCTGCCTTTCCTGAATTAGAATGGATAAAAGAGAATATGCATTGGTCAAATATGTTTATATGGTCTTTTATAAAAGTTGTTATTATAAAAATTCTTGGCAATAATTTTTAAAATATGGAGAAACAATGATCTAAAATGAATCTCTCTACATCCCTAGCTACATTTTCAAGCAAAAAAATATTTCTCAACATTTATTCAGGTGTATACCTTGCTTTTGCTTGCTTTTTGCAATAGCATTTAAGAGAAAACCGAGTGACCATTTGCCGCCTACGTGAGAGCATTAGGGTATGATTGCGAAATGAACCAGCCTCACTGAAACAGCATGTTTGTTTAACCTGGTGACTTTCCTATGTCTGTGCTAAGGAGGAGCAGGCCTGGCTGTGGTGAAGGGGGAGGTGACAGAAGAGCAAATACACCTGACTCACTGAGACAAGGCTAGAACATCAACTACTCTTTGTAATGACAACTGTTCTAGCACTCACCAGCAGGCAAGGTGATCGTTTCATTGACCCACCTTAATTTGGAATGAAATCCGAGGAAATGACAGCAGCTGAAGCATAGCAGTCCCATTTCTGAGCTCACTCAGAATAATGAACCCACTGAAATGCTGAGTTTTCTGTCTTTGGCATACAAGGACATCAAGGGAAAAATTAACATTGAAAGCACAGCCAGAGAGAGACGAATATGAGAAGTTCACTTTCAAGCTCAGGCCTACGTTTATTTTAGTCTCCCATCTCTAGTATTATGGAAAGTTTCAATCATATAGAAAAATACACAGAAGAACGAACCCCCACAAAGCTGTCACTCAGGTTCCATAATTGTCAACACATGGTCCAGTTTCACTTTATGCACCATATCCACTCCTTCTTGAAATTTTTTAAGGAGGTTTTCAGACAGGCAAAGTTTTATCTTATGTAAGCGTTCATTTACAATGCACATGTACATTTTTCTAACAATCACTTCAGACATCTCATTGAGCATAAGATGTTTGAATCAACTTTAACCACATCTTGTAAAATATTTTATACTCAAGCCTATCTACCTAGAAAACTGATTTGCCTGACTGTAATTGGATAATTAAAATGACAAAGTAGTGTGAAATGCAACTCTATTATTCTATTTATGGTAGGGGGAGAAGCACATTCAAAGACCGAGAAGAGTACACACTCATGTACTCCCTATGGTTCTAGGCTTTGTGAACACTCCAATTAACGATGAAATAAACATAACTTAGTTAAGATTTTCCTGCATGGAGCTTAGAAAAGTGGGAGGAGTTATTAAGGGGCCCTGGAGCTGCTACCACCCCTATCCCCTTCTCTACAAACATACAGAATAACAGACAATGCCAACAGACCAACTTTTATAGGCTCAAAAATCACTAATCTAGCAGGCTAGCTCCTCGTAATAATTTACTACCAATCTGAGAGCAGAGATCAAAAGGAATTCCATCCAGCATTTCTATTCAATTCTTCACTGCCAACGACTAATTTGTAGGGGAATGAAGTCCTCACAAGATGAAGCCAAAATCATCTGAGGTGACTTTGATACAATGCCACAAAGGATATGAAGAGGAAGCCAGTAGGCGCTACAGATGGCTAGGCTCCATTAGGAGTTCTAATAAAAGAATAAAGGAATTTCCCTCATCTGTGATAGAAGTAGGAAAAATTCAGACAACTCAGGCAAAACCTTTGATTTGTCAACGCTTTTGAAAATTTGTTGTTAAATGCTACCTTTAGTCATTAGTGCACTTATGCTAATTAAACGGTCTCATGATGGGCAGGCAAAACTCCCCACAGCAGTTTGGCCAGTCCAGTGCTGTCGCATGGCTATGTCCCCTTCCCCCTGCACTTCCAGATGTCACTGGATCCCAGTCTCTTTCAAATGAATTCCCTCCTTTCTGCAAGTAACTGACTGGGGTTGGAAAAACATTTCTATGAAATGATAGTTTATGGTATCACACATCTCTACAAAGCATAAACACTTCTGTTAAAATTTTCTGGTGCTAAAGTCAATTAGTCCCTTGTTATACATTAGAAACTCTAAGTTCTTTGAAGTTATATCAACTGCTGGCACATTCATTTTGTCTCTTGAGTCTAGACATCTCCCTATTCTCAACTGAGGAATGGGATTTTTACATTAGTTATTTTGGCTGGTTGAAAACTTCCCACCATGTCTCCTGCAAGTTCATAGGTAAAGACTCAAATTTATAGTAACACTTCAACTGGGTGATTTTTGTTTGTTTGTTTGTTTGTTTGCTTGCTTGCTTTTGAAATCATCTCAAATTAACAGATTTATTGGAACATTCATGGCATTCATACAAACCTCAGAGAACCTCTGAGGTGTTTACAATGAGGAGGTGGAGTATTAGGAATTCTCATATTGGCATCAAGCATATGATTTTTGAACTTAAAATTGTCTGCATGTGTGCAGTTCCTGTGGAGGAGAGATGAGGGCTCTGAATGCCCTGGATGGGAGATATAGATGGTTGTAAGCCACTATGTGGGCATGGGAAACTGTACCAGAGTCTTCTAGAAGAGCAACTAATACTCTTAACCTATGAGACATATCTCCAGCTCCTAATTTTTGTGCTTTTTAAAGGAGTTCTTAGTCCTTTACAAGTATGTTGAGAAACGCTTATAGGTAAAAATATACCTGGAAGTCAGTCCTTCAAGTGGGCATAAACTGAAGGGGAATGGCTGTAGGTCTTTTCTGGACAATAGGATGGAGTATGGGAGGCCTGACACCTTGGTCTTCTGCCATATTAGTCTTGGTAAGAGCATTTCAGCAGTCTGGCTATGTGCTGCTTCTTGTACATATTATTTGTTTCATACAGTAAGTAGCAGAAAAGTAAAGATTCAAGATTTAATAATAAAGGTTTCACCCACCTCTACCAATTTCACAGCCTCATTCACTCACCTTTGTATTTCAAAAGAAAACACCAATCACCTAAAATAGTAATCACTACCTCCATCTCAAGAGAATACCCAAACTGTGTCTGCATACTTCACTGATAATGTATAGATGGACTTGTTTGGTTTGGGGCAGAGCTCAGGAGTGAGCCTGGGGCTTCATGCATGTAAGAGCTTCCACAGAGCAATAGCTCTAGCCCCCTGTAACTATATTCTAACTTGAAAAACTTGCAAGTAATTCAGTTCGGAAACAGAAAGTTTCAGTTTAATTTATAAGACATTTTAAAACATGACTATAAATGTAACTGGTAATGTATTTCAAAATCATTACATAGCAGTGAAACCTGGGCTACCCATTTAGGAAGAGCTTGGTCTGGGAGGCATCACAGGTAAGCATTCTCCCTACATGTTTAGAACAGGGATTGTCAAATACTCTAATCACATGTTTCTCTTACCTTGTGATCATATGGATTGTAGGAATGAAACACCCGAGAAAGATCTTTTGTCCTTTGTTTTTTCTGTGGAAGAATAAAAAAACAAAAATATTTGCGTTGAAAGGTACCAAAAAATACATGTATGTGTACTTTTCTATCTTCCTATAGACGGACTATTGCTTGGTGCAAGTGGAGAGCAGTCAACTGATAGTTATATAGGTCAACTGTCATGTAGCAGGCAGGCTAGCTCTTCCTAGAACAGTGGTTCTCAACCTTTCTAATGCAACCCTTTAGTACACTTCCTCATTTGTGGTGACTCCATCCATAAAAATATTTTGTTGCTACTTCATAACTATAATTTTGCTACTGTTCTGAATGGTAACATAAATATTTTTTGGAGACAGAGTTTTGTTAAAGAGGTCGTGACTCATAAGTTTACAACTGCTGTCCTATTAGTTTTTTTTTAATTAAAGGTAATCATCATCTCAAACTATTTCCATGTATACACCTAGAAACTAGAGTGAGGAGAAAGAAACCTTAGCACACATTTGGGTCCTTTCAACTCTGTTATGAAGCCACCAACTGATCCTCAAGCACTAGTATCTACTTGAGTGACATTGCTACACCAGGTTGCCTGAAACATCTTGAGTCTGTCTGCGTGAATCTGCAGCTGCAGTTGGGGGGCACCTTCATTATGAAACTGTTCTACAGCCTGATGTATCCTATACACAGTATGTACTCAACAAATAATGGCTTCATAAGTCAATGACATACTTGAGGCAGAGAAGCATGTACTATCATAAGCCTCACAGGCAGCTATGATGAGACAAGGCCCTTCACTTCTAATGAGGTGCTCTTCTCAAGCTAAACCCAGACTCTATGCAAGAACTCTCAAGCTTGCTCCCCAGGCTGTGACAAAGATAAATATGGGGCTCTGTCATCGCAGTCAACTTGAAAGGAACCTTGTTTGCTTGCCACTGTATGCTTGTATGGTTCCTTATCAACTTGGTGAACAAACATGTATACATATAATGCACAAACACAGATGGAATTATTACTCTCAAAGGAGGAAGGCTGTTCTAGATTGTTGTGAAATTTGCTTTCTAGTTCATGCTCCACCCTTGCCAAACTTCCATGCTGTGAATACAGACTCTCATTCACTCATTAGGCATTCTCAAACCCCAAAGCTTTAGAAATCCAAATGTTTTCTGTGAATCATTTTCTGATTTGCTTCTTTTTTGAGGTAGGGCATCAGTACATAACCAAAGCTAGCCTGGAACTTGTAATGCTACTGTTCCAGCCAGCTGAGTGCTGGGATTGAAGGTGTATTCTGCTTTACCAGGCTATACATCATGTTTTGATACAATGACAATCTTTGCACAAACTTTTCTATAAGCCTCAAAGTTTCTATTATTTTAAGAAACAAAATAATGTCTAGAGTATGTCTAGTTTCAGGATCAAATTTATATGCATGCTTATGACCTTGATATGGTCAAATTGCACTCTCCACATTGTTTCTTCCAATTTGCCCTTGCACCAGGAATGAATGAGCAATCACAAATTGAGAAGGGCACTCTTGAGATGTTTTCTCCTCCATTTAGGTTAGAATTTTTTTAAACTTACAAAACTGATTGTTTTTTAGAATAGATAAAAAATACTCTTTCTGCTTATTGAAGAATTCATAATATTTATTTCTTGTACATCACAGAATCAGCCTTTGTTATATCTTACAATTCTGTCATGCAAGTGACTCATAACGTTCCTAATATACAAGTAACAAGCAACTGGGTGCTCTTGTTTGAATGAATCCTTGTCAATTATTTTTGAGGCCTAGAGAGGCATGAAGACTTCAGCATCTTCATGGCTATTTCCACCACCCAACTCCTGACTGCTAGGATCTGCCTTAGATCTAATCATAATTAGGGTCACATATGCAAATCCTTTATACATACTCAGTTGTGAAACAGAGAACAGCTCTGTAGGAAAACTATTCTGAGAGGAACAATTTCACGGGCAGCGTTTCCAGGCAGTCGGTGTAGTCACATTCTCAAGCCCACCGATGGACATCTTTTCCTGCTGAAGTTCCTGCCTCTTTTGCCCAGTCTCAAGCAGTGCTTCCAATCACCTCACTGAAGTGATATAACCCCTTTTGTCTTTTTGCCTACACAGCAGAGATGTGTCTTTCAGGAAATAGGAAACAGTTCTCTTGATTAATGAAACATTAGTCTTATGAGCCTTGGACTCTATTAGGAACAGTCACTTGTCCACCAGAGTTTTCAATTAGCTTATACTTTTCTCTTTCCTTCCTTATTCCCCTTAAGTTGGTGGAATGGTTCTTGGCTATACTTCAGTCAAAAGACAAATGACAAATACTAACACTTCCTTCAGTGGGAGACTTGATGTAACACATTGGGACATTTTTTTTTTTTCCCAAAAGGAAATTATGCTAGTGAAGATAAGATGGGAAACATACCAATAATCAACTTAGGAAGTGCCTGAAGGCCGAAAAGCCTCACAAATGGCCCTCTGACCAGCTAGAGCTGCCTGGTGGGTAAGAAATGGCAAAAGTTCTTTTGTGTGGCCTTTTTATATGGGCTTGGATATTCCAAATCCACAGGTGCCTTTCATTTTAGTTCTCTTTTTAAATTTTACTTGGGGGGGGGGCACTAGGACTTCCTGCAAGTTAAACACATGTTCTCCCACTGAGTCACCCCTCCCCCCGAGTCCTATACATACCTTTGTCATAATATACTTCAAGTGATTCGGAAGAGGAAGGAGCTAAAGGTAATGAAATAACGCTATTTAGATCACCCCCCCCCAAAAAAAAAAAAAACAAAAAACAAACCAGGAGGTAAATAATACTCTATTTCTGACAACAAACTAATTATACACACATGAAGTAGAGTCCTGGTCATGAACAACAAAAAGATAAATGCATCAACAGAGCTATCTGAATGTCATGGGTATTCCTCCACTGAAGTCAGTTACACAGCCAACCCTGCATTTTCTGGAAGGAAAAAGTTATGGTTTGTGCGCCAATCCAAACTATTTCCTGGTTCTTATAAGTAGGTTTTGTTGAGGGCTGGGGAGACAGCTCAGTTAGTAACATGTTTACCATGGAAGCATGAGGACATCAGTTCAATTTCCAAAGCCCATGTAAAACACCAGACATAATGGCACATACTTGTAATCCTGGCTCTGAAGAGGTGCAACTAAATGGTATCCTAAAGTTTTCTGGCCAAATAGCTTAGCCTAATCCTCAAGCTCCAAGAGAATGAGAGAGAAGGGTCTTAAATATGAGATGAGCCCTAAGGAATGACTTCTGAGGTCTGCCTATGGCCTGCACACACAAATCCCACACATGCATTCAGATTCTCTTATACATTTACACTCAGGTAAATAAAGTTTTATTGAAACACAGCCATACCCACTCATTTGTGAGTGTTTTCATGCTCCAAAAGCAGAGCTGGATTGTCACAACAGAGAGCGTGGATCCCTCAAACTGTAAGTTATTTATCACCTGGCCCTTTGCAGAAAAAGTTAGTGACTCGGATTTAGAGTCTGTGTTCTAACATATCAGCCAGCACCCCCACCCCAGGACTGAAAATCAAGCAATCAACTTTCCAAAAAGATGCCCTGCTCCTTCTATCTGCTCTTTGAAGATAGAGTACAAGCAATCATAGCCTACATCCTGGAGCATAACAATGAACCAGTGAGGCAGAATAATTTCCAGTTGTCTAGTTATTATGACTTGACTTTACAGTGCATTATATACGAAGGTAGAATATTGCCAGTCAGGATCTGGAGCATGCGGAAATAGATTTCGGGTGTTCACAGCCTTTCTACATGTGTCCTGTGACTTTTGATCACAGAAGCTTTAAGAAGAAATATTTTACTAAGTTTTGGGCCTGAAGCCTCATGAGTTGTACATACAAATGATGAAGACATGGACGTCACGCCTAGCCAGCATGCTTCTCAGACAAGCAACATGAAGAGAGCTACTCTGCAGGAAATATTGAGCTTTGCTCTCAGCAGTTTTAACTGAGACCAAAAGGAGTAATTCGGCATTTTCCTGTTGTATAAGAACACATGCCTAAATGACCCCTCCTTTTCAGCCTCTTAAAACAAACATCTCAGTCATGCAGCCACCTGTGAATTTTCCAAGCATTTAAAAAGTAAACATTAGAACATGCCACATGATGGACTTATAACCAGGGTGACCTGGAAAGTGCTTCTCCCAGAACCTTGCAAGGTACCTTCAAGTCACCTTCATCATCATGCAAGTTCCCATGCATGGATGGCAGAGCTAGAGAATGCTGAGCTCTGCTGTCTATGCGGGCTGCATTTGGGTTTCAAAACAAGGCAGTATACAAGTTTTTTAGAACTTCTACATTCTTTTTTCCCCCCTTTTCACTAAGGCCTCAATGTTTAACTAATTAACTGTTTATTTTTTATTGACAAGCCAGCCATCATCCCCCCACCTCACATCACAAACTGCTTTAGAATTCTCTGCTAAGGTCAGAAACACCTCTGTCCTCCTTTCTCTATAGTTATGTTCAACTTCATTTTAGAGAAAACCAAACAAACTTTACCACCCCCCGCCCCCCGCCTTTGAACAGTACAGGTTGCCAATGTTAATAGTTTAGGCTTTCACACAGTGGGAAAAGAAGCCCTGAGTTGATGGGCAGTGGTGTCGTTTACAGACAAGAGAGTAGGCTGAGTATAGTCTCATAGACAAAAATAGAGGAGTCAGCTGGATTAAGGGAAAGGCTACATAAGCAGAATGTGCACTGATAGAGCAACAAATGGTCAAACTTGTGATGCAGAAAGAAGTCCTTAAAGAGACAACAAGACCGTCCTTCCCATGAGAGAGTGAGAGGCTATTGAAATCATCCCAATCCAATGACAATACCCCCAAGGAAAGCTGGGATGAAGTGAGAGGGTAGGAGGGATTACACACGCTGAGAGGCAGCACGGCTGGTGACTAACCCATGGTGGAGAAGAGAGCAATGACTAGAGGAGACTCCAGGAGGTCGGCTTCAGCACTGGAGTAGAGGCGCTTTCCATGGAGTGAAGAGTCCACA